AACATAAACTTTCTAGGTCCTGCTGTGCTTTCAGAACAGCAATTCAAATGCACCTATGAACTGTTATTCCTAGCCTGGCAGACACAAAATTATTAGTAAAATACAACTGTGTCAAAGTGCATCTCTAAAACATGTTATTAAAATCACCTTTTAAATATTATTTTAAAATATGGGGAATGATTCCTGCAGAAAAAGAAAGGCTAATACTATCTTTACTTTTCAGACTGTTCTTTAGGTTTCAGAATTTTGTTAAGGTTCTCTTAATTGCTGGNTTTTTTTTTTTTTTTTTTTTTTTTTTTTTTGTCGTGTGGCTTATTTAACAGGTAAAAATGTTAATTGTCTCCTGTAATTAATAGCCAATTCATTTCTCCTCACCCTTGTGTATTGCCATGCAGAGAGGCAGTGTGTTACAGTAGGACTGCTGCGCAGTACAGGGCTTTGTTGTGGTACTTGAAATACAGAGGGGCAATTTGGAATGAAATGCCTTTGCTTTCAGACTGCAACTGTGCTTTCACAAACCATTAACTAAACATTAGACACGTAACCAGAAGCAGAGGTTACAGGGAAAAGCAATGCAAGTAGCAGTGCCCTGCACCAGGATGCCTGCGGCAGTGGTAGTTAGTAAGCCCGTCTTGTTTTGCCAGCATAATTTTTTTGAATCTGCTGTTAGTTTAAGGGCAGCTGGACTAGTTTTAGTGAGAGCCACTAGTGACTTTAGTGACCCTGATTGAGGACCTGTGTGATTTCCCCTCCCCAACCATCTTAAGACAAATCTTCCTCTGCTTTTGTCATTTTATATGTTCTTCAGAGTTGTCAATTTTCCTTATTTTTTCTGCTTTTCTTATCGTATATGCTCAGTTAATAAATAGCATGCTTGCACAGGGTTGCTCCCAAGTACTGCCTTTCAAGCAAATACTGTGTTTAATTGCTGAGGAATGCTAATTATCATCAATCATTAGACCTCAACCACAGCATTTCTGTCAAGTAAATTCACTTCATAATAGTTTGTAGCAGGGTGTTTTATTTTGATTGAGTTGAAGGGTAGGAGCTTGGTGGTAYGTGCAGCTCTGAGCTGAGCTCGTAAAGTGAAGCCTTTTGTCATAGGAGGAATCACAATGAATAATGTTGAGGGAACCTCCTCCCAACGGAATATATTCCTTAGTGTAAAATTCAGAAGGCTAACCATTTAATTTAAGATCATGGGTAGGACTCTTTAAAATTTATTCTAATGACTTATTGTTTATTAAGCATATGAATAATAATAACTGGTTTAAAATTTCCAAACTTTTAGCAGTGTTAAATGTGTTTGTTTAATAATGGAACATAAAAGGGCTGGACAATGAACTTAAAATATGAATGTCCGTCTTTCCCTACTGATTCACCACTGCACAGCAAAAAATATCATGTATTTGCCCATTGCTAGTTTTGTATTACAACATCCTAATTTCTTGTCGTTTATATGACACCAGCTAATATTTGTCATTTGAGAAGTAACGTTGGAAAGAAAATGGGGCAGTGAATTTGGCAGTGAAGCAAAAGAAGAGTAGATGGAAAAAGTAGATAAAAATTAGTTAACCCCCCACTTTTTTTCCTAACTGTGCAAGTGTGTCTTGCCTTGGTGACAAGTTGCAACAAGGCAAATTCTGACTAGATACTGGGGGGAAGAAATTGCAATGTGTGATGAAYAGGGGATTGTGGCAGGTGACACACGGAGCCGCCTTCCAGCCTAAATTATGCTGTGAGCCTCATTGCCTTGAGAGGAAACAGTGCTTGGGAAGCAGCTCTACATCCCAAGTAACAAATAAAATGGATTTCAGAACTCATCTGCCTTTGAACCCCACAGTTTCTGATATTAAAACAAACCCCACATGCACTTGAAAATCAATTCACTTTTTAAGGTAACTACTGGTAGCCTTTCCTCTCCTATCTTTTAAAGCTGTGTTTACAGGAGAGCTTTATAGAACACTATTTTTGCAAGCATTAAAAGCAAAWCCAGGGTGTCTGTACGAGTTGCTGGTCACATAATTGCCTGAGATACTGGAGATCAAAAAAAATGCAACAAACAGTTTTGTTCTTTAAGCTGGAAAGAAAGCGGTGGGGGGAAGAAGAAGAATTTAGTTAAACAAAACAAAACCCAACAGAGTTGAGTTGGGAAGAGGAAAAGAAGATAGGGGACTGGCAGACAGGTCTTTATACAAATTGCCATTCAGGTCTACATCTAAATAAATAACTAGTACTATGTTTTCTATTGCCCGTTCTCAGCTGCATCTCCCTATGCTAATCAATGTCTTATTTCTTTTAAGATTTTGGAGGCAAGTATTGTGCATTTGGTCCAGTTAATCAGGCAGTCTGTTAACAACGAGCCTGAAGGACTCAGAGCTACAGATGAGGGGTGCAAAGGAGATAGTGGTTTGTGTATTGCAGGAATTGCTTCCATCATCCCTTTTCTTTACAAAAGGGGAGTGAGGGGGTGAGAGATGGTAACRAGTCCTTTTCCTTCCTGAATACAAGTACTAGGTAACAGTCTGTTCCTTTGCTCAGAGCTTGCGGCTCTACCTCTGTGCTGACATTTCCTGCCTGAGCAGCTGTGCTGCCTCCTCGCAGGGTCGCACACAGCAGCGCTGCTTTCCYGTGCTGTTGTTCATAGGCAGCCCCAGGTCCTGCCTGCTCACCTCTCTTGGCAGCAGGATAAGCTGGTGAGTCTTCTGCACGGTACCTTCTGCTGCTTCCAGCTCATGCAGTTCTTAAAGGAAGGTCTTTATTGCTCCGTCCATTCAGCTAAGGCACCATCAGCCCGTGCACAGGGCAGAGCCAGCTCTGGCATTTATTTTATGGCAGTTAGATGGCCTAGTGGCAGCCATTAAGTTCTTCCAATATTACACTTTCCTCTTTCTTGTTTTCTTTATATGCAAATAATAAAGTCTAGACGTATGTTTTGTTTAAGACTGTCCAAGGCTTAAATGTCATTATTCTACAGACAACTGTTTCCACGTAGCTTTTTGGTATGCTGCCTCTGAAACAAAGTTTCAGGATTGCTGCATCTTGTAAAATCCTGCCTGGGATTGTGTAGTTCTGTTAGGACTAGCTGATTTCTGTTTTAATTTTCACTTGCCTCTGAATGTACGTCAAGTAGAGCCCAAGTTAGTGCCGTCAGTCTGAGGCAGCTTGTGCTGTTTCCTTCCCAGAAATGCCACAACGAGGTGGGAGCTGGGGGGCTGGCAGCTTGCGGCAGCGCTGCTGGCAGGGCCGGGAGCCGGCTCCTCTTCCCACGAGGAGAGCGCTCAAGCCCCCTCGCTTTGGAGCCAGCTTGCTGCTTGCAACTGTGGAATCGGAGCCCTTCCCGTGGGCCAGGCCAGCTGACAGAGACTGCTGCTGCTTTTGCTGTTCGCTCCTACCTGGTTAGCAGCACTCGGGGTTCTCTGCAAGCCCTGTGATGCCAGGGTGGCAGCAGCATTGGTTAGTGGGGCTGGGCCCACTGCATGTGCAGGAGCTTTCATACAGCCGCTGCCCTGAGAGGAGAGCAGGGTGGCTGGCATGCAGCGGTACCGCTACCACTGGTCCTTTTAATTTTAGGTGTAACCAGCACTGTCTTGTCTCGTGGCTTTGTGGCTTCCTGCCAGGCCTTTTGAGATGTTGCAGCCCTGTGTTTTGCTTGTGCTAGCCCTGGYGGGGGCTGGCAAGGCAGGGAGGCACCACGCTCAACCCCTCTTCCCGGACATGGGCCTGTGCACCCGTGGGAGCAGGAGGGCAGGATTTGGGAGCCTCAGCACCACGGTGCTGCAAGCCGCTTGCTTGCCCTGCTGTGTTTGCTGCTGTTTCAGCTCTGTGTGACTGCTCTGAGGTGCTGCAGGCTGCGCTCCAGCACAAGGAGCCGGGAGCAACTCAGCAAGATTTTGCTTGTGCTTTGCCCTGCGACTGAGAGAATTTGAATCACTGCAGCTGTCTGGTTTTGTTAGACTACCTGAATACCATCCTTGACAGAAGTGTTTGACTTATCTATAGCCCCAAATCCTGTTTGGTGGTTGCTGTTTTCATACTGCAAATGCTGCTTCTCCTTGAGATGTGGGGAGGGAAAGGTGAGATGTGTGCTAGCTCTTGTGACCAAACTCTGGCTGCTTGCTCTGCTTTTGTGACCCAGGAAGTAAACAGGAGTGCTGCGTCCCCCCTCCGTGAATAACAGCCTCCCTTCCCTGGATGGGAAATGTGTCAAGTGAGTTAAAAAGCGGGTGCCCTTTGAGAGAGGGCCTGCTAAGTCGCACGTGCTTGTACTGAAGGTGTTTGCAGGCTAGTGAAACAGTTCAGAGCTGGTGCATGGTTGGGACTGGATGCAGATGAGATAAAAAATAACTTTTCCTATACAAGCTTTGTTTGAGTTTCTTAATTTTGTCTTTTAAGCAATTTTAAAGACTGTTCATTTCCACCTCGGGCAAATATTTGAAGAAGTTAGGTGGCTGTGGTCCTGTGTAACCCGTTCRTTGGAGTTAGCAGCAGCTTGTCCTAAGCCGGTGTCCAGGTGCATCTCTCGGGGCTGCCCCTGCGGCCCGCCCGGCTGCGCCAGAGGCGCCCGGGCGCGCTGCGCCGCGCGGCTGCGGGCGGC